TGTTAAAGTTTGAATATTGACAGTATCGTAGGCCTTAACAAGGTCAATCCCTGCTCCAACTACTTGTTTACCAATGCTTATAAAATGTAGAACCGTGTTAATAACGTCGTTGATGCATTGAGTTGTTGATCTCCTGGAGGATAGAAGTTGGTATTGATCCACATGATCTTCGAGATGAAATTTAATTATTCCTTCCATCGTTTTACAAAGCGTTGACAGTAATTAAATTGGTCTGTAACTCTCCGTTGTAGATGGGTCTTTATTGGGCTTCAATATTGGTACGATTTTAATGTGCCTCCTATCCTCCGGTATTTTCCCCTCAATCCAAATATTTTTCAATAATCGGAAGAGTGCATCCTTTTCAGTCTCTTGCACATTATTAATCATGTGGTAGGATAATCCATCCAATCCCTTAGCGGAGTCAGGTATCCTGTCCTTTAAAAAGGTATCAAAATTTTTAAGTGTCAGTTCAGGTAAGTCGTATCCGGTGTTCGTATAATCATGAAAGGCAGGTGAATTGTGGTCATTGCAGGTGGTGTTTGATGACATGGTTATCATATTTAAAAAGTCGCATTTTTGTTCCTTAGTCCAAGTATTATTTGTTCGTTTAGGACAGCCATATTTTTTCACACTATTAATTTTATTCCACATCTGTTTACTGTCCGTCGTTTCAGATATCTCATCTAGAAGTACATATATTAAAACTTTCTCTTTTTCTTATGGTTATTTGATTTTGAAGATTAGTTTGTGCTTCCGATAATTTATTTAGATTTTCCAATGATCTGTATGTTTGGTATCTGGCTCTTGCATTATTTCTTATTCGGTAAATTTATCAATGTCATTGTTCCACCATTTTTTTGGTTGGTAAGTATTATTGCTATTAATTTTTATAGTGTTTTCTTCTATTAGTTTATTAATGTTACTATTGAATTCTTGAAGGTTATGTCCTATTTTAATATTAGTCATTCTCGCATATGATTGTTGTTTATTTCTATTGTAATTGGTTGATGATTACTGTTGGTTATTTTTAGAGGTAATACTGTCCATTCTATGTTTGTTGTGTTCTTATTGCTAAATGTTACATTAGGGTGTGTTTTAATGTCGTTTATTATATACGTGGGGTTTCCATCGTTCAGGCATTCGAATTCGTAATCTATTGCTAGATTTTCGAGGATACTACCTTTAGTATCAGTAGTATTACTTCCCCATAAAATTGACTTGCTGTTAAAATCCCCTGCCAATATAGACTTAGCTTTTCAATTTTTCGCCGTTAAAAAAGTTTTTTCTAACTCTTGTTTAAATTCTGTTGCGGACATATCTGGTGGGCAGTATATGCTGAAAACGTTGAAGTTCACTTTAAGGTTAAGTGTTGTGATACCAATTATATCGGCGATGGTTATTAGTTTAATCAATGAGAATTTAATGCGTTTGTTAATGTATATGCCTACACCACCATACCCATCATCGCGATATTTGCCAACGAAATTAAAGGTTTTTAAAGACGTGCTGCTATTATTTATCAACCATGTTTTGCTATGGATTGCTATATCTACCTTTTTATGTATTAATGTTAGTTCCAGTAATTCTTTGTTATTTTTTTTTCAGACTCTGAATATTAAATTGCAAGATTCATATATTCCTCTTCTTCTTCCTCTTTATTGGCGCTGTAACCGCCTAAGCGATTTTGGCCGAGTCCAAAA